CAATCTATAACTCATACATACGCCCCAAAGACTACACTATACTTTTTATGATATCCTAGTCATAATACTGTAAATCTCTTTCAGTGTCAATATAAGTAGTTCAAGTGTGTGCTAGGTACCACTGTATAGCTTGTGTGACTTGTGCATTCTGCATCATGTCAGCCAAAAAATGGCTTCTAGCAGGACAAATATTGATCAACATGTTGATCATTCAATCTTGTTCCTTTGTCAAACCTTCAAAATCAAGTGCTTTTCTTGCACATGTCTCTTGTACAGTACAAACATTGCAAACTTCTCAATCATGTCCATACAAACTAGGAGTGAAGTCCTCATCATTACATTTATGTAATGATAAGTCATATAGAAACCTGAATGTCAGTGAAAGCCAGCCTGCAGAGCCTCTGACTGTAAAATGATTCCACCACATCATTCCTTATCTCCTCTGATATAACCGACAGACTCATGAAATTACCTAACCACCATATTACACCTTGGAATTTCTGCACCCCAACAGATCTCATGTCACCAATGAGAATCAAAAACCACTGAAAAGAAGAAATGATGAATTCTTGGCACCTGCATCTGGTTCCCAGTTGTTGCCTTTTTTATCCACCTATACTTCATTTAACTAGATGACTGGGTATATGAAGTCTCCATGGCCATTCCCAGATAGGAGGGCGAGGATCTTTAGAGTGAGAGAGGAGTAGATCAACTGCCATTATAGAAGATGATATCAGAAGATCTGAAGTGTGGATTGATAGATCCACACAGATGGGTATATCTCCACCAGGGGACAGGTTTTAAAGGTGGTATAGATTGGGAGTGTACTAATGGTGGTCCTGACTACGTCGATGATATTTTCCAGCGCATTGTTTCACACTCTCAGGAATTGCACTCATGATTATTCCTGACCTTACTCCTTTTAGCCACACCACCAAACCACTTGCTTACGTCTATGTTGATTGGTGTCAATCCTTTGGGCCCTTGCAGACTGCAGCTGCAAGGGTTCAAAGAGGATGCCTTGAAAGTACCCTGAAGTTGTTTCCTAAGGTATGTTCCTATTCTTTGTCAACCAGGTACTGACTTCTTGAGGTCTAGCATTTTTTGTAGCAGTCCCCTCATTGGGGACTACATACTTTTACTGATCAATCTCTTTATGTTGCAGCATCTCTGATCGGTTAATCTTTCTACATCCGGCTACTAATTTATCTCTGCCTTTCTTTCAGCGCTTCTCTGCTTCTTTGGGCTCTGCATGGACCATCTAGGAACTGCCACCCATGTTTGTTGTGTGGCTCTGCATGAACCATAAAGGAACTGCCGCCCCCTTGAATCTGTGGGAGTATTTGAGTCTGGGGGATTATTATTTGGTGCTGCATGATCCATCAAGGACTGCCGCCTGCTTGAGTCTTTGGGAATTATATATCTTATTCATCACTAATTTCAAGTCTAGCGAGCAGACTGAGCCATTGCATCACACTGAGAGACGACAAATATGAGATCAATTAGTTAGTTAGGGTTAGTTAGTTAAAACTAGACATCAAGCTGCATTTTCTTCCATGAGTTGGAACCAGACCTTGTATTTGAAGGCAGCCAACAGTGTGCTTCAAGTGTGCCAGCAGGATACAACACCAGACCGTACAGATGTTGAGACATCTGCATCAATGTCTGAATCCTCCCTGCTGAGCACCATCAAGGCACAGCTGGTAATGGAGTTATGTTAAAATAAAATGGGCAAGAGTGGCTCCATTACCACTCTGGATAGAGGTTAAATGGCTACCAACAGAGAAGGAATGACCACCATGGTGGTATTCGCACTACTCCCAAGAATCAGCACCTGTCCACAAATTGCAAATTGTAAGCATGACCTCATGCTTCACTTTTCCTATGGAGGTGTTTTCTTCATGCAAACAAATATCTTGGAGGGATTTTACCTCAAGGAGGTGCTTAAAGAAGGGACAGTGGTTGCCTTTAAGCCCTTGCAAGTTCCATATAACTTGTAGGGTAAGCTCTACATATCCTTTTCAATCTGGCCACTCACCATATGGCATTCTGCAAACGAGTTCAGTGGGGCTAGCACAGGTTGATGAGTTGCAACTGAAAAGTCTGGCTTCTTAGCTTTACAGTTGGTGGATAGTGGAGAGCCGTCTTATTGGAGGGAGAGAAATGGACGGGTGGGGAATTCCATCCAGCATTGCAACACAGTGGGAGGCATTTAACCATACTGCTAGGGCAGAGCAGGCGGTGTGGGAACCCTTTTGCACTATTCGCGACACATTGGTGCCCCTTGTCATCAAGGCAAGTCCCTTTTCCTTTGAACCCAGTCATTGGGTCCAAGGAAAGGCCTTTATTAATATAGGCTTTGAAGCAGTACCAGATTGAGGAGGCCCATGTCAAGGCCACACAACACCTTATAAACAACAAGAAAACCTTCTCATGCTGTGACTGAGACTACCTTGAGAAAGCTCTTGAAAAAAATGCTAGTCTGTGTATTGAGGCCATCTTGGAAGCTGCTGTGGAGGCTGCCAAAGGTCTGCCGAAGAAGGATATGTGTTCTTGACCTTCTCAGATAAGCTCATTTCTTGCCAGCCAGCAAAGAAGTGTACTGGCAGGCGACATACTCGCTGGGTCATTGTAGTTGCTGTCTACATGGAGTAGTGTGTCCTGAACTTGTGTTGTGGTGGGGGTGTGGATGTGGGTTTATAGTCATGATCAAGTGTTCTTCCGATAGACTGTGGTCTCCGAACAGAAGTGAATAAGATCTTACTTTGAATCATGGAACTGGGGAGTTCAACTGTATTCCATTGGGACTTATATCAGCAATGACAAACTAAATTAGTAAATGACAAGAAGATAGTATGCATAGTGTGAAACATGTGGCTCTCACCGCTGCCCACAGTCACATGTTACATTACAAAGGTACTTATGCTTATTGTATGGCCAAGCAAATATTTGCCTTCCTGCAGTGGGCCCTCAAATTGGGAACACATGCACCTTCGTGACCGGACTGTATCCTGTAGAAAACCCTTCTACTGCAAGATTGATGAGGTTATTTATCACCATCCTTACCTGGACCTTCTGCTGCTTAATTGCCATGTTTCACCTCTGTTAGCCATCATAAATGCAGGACCAAAGTGCAAAAGAGATCAGATAAATCAGATCAGTTTCGGGTGGGTATTATCTGCGGCAGACAGAAGAGTCCAAAGAACTTAATCAGCGACTTACACTCTTGTGTGATATCTTGGACTCCTTTATTGGATGTAAAGGATGCTGTGAAGGGTTGGGGTCTATGGACCTGAGATGATTAGTAATGGGCCAACAAGGTACTGTGGGTTGGCAAAGACCCGCTAATTAAGTCAATGGGAGAGACAACGGATGGTGGAAAACCAGAGTGGGGCAGTCGGATGTTGGGCCCTCCATAGACCATAGTCTTATCTTGGTCTTCTTGGAAACAACCAATCTGCAATGAAAAATAATATGTAAAAGGTGTATATTGAGGAGGCAGTTTTGAGGGTGCTCTGTAGCGACAGAGACAGTGGATTAGCATCATTGTACTGTGAAAGGTAACTCATTCGAGCCAATATGAAGCAGGTGTCATTTTAAATAGAACAGCCCTTCGGGCACCCCTGGACCTGTTATTTACTTGTTCTTATGTTCTGAACCTCTGGCGTTTTTTAGTCGCCAGTGGAACGATTTCTCATAGCTTACGAGTTATGTGTGCATACCTACAATGGCCCAAATGTCACGTGTCCATGCTCACAATCATTGGATTTTGGCCCATATGACTCATACTCTTATTATCTTGTTCTATTCAATCACTGTCTTTCCTCTTCTTTGGAATATATCCAGGTCCTTTGCTTAGACCTAAGTCTTCCATAATCCTGGTTCTCGTCAGATAGGTAATAACAATTGACCATTGCATTCACACTTTTACCAAGTATGTGGTCAGCACGACATCTTCTGTGGTCATATTTATGATTTTTTCACGTCTTGCTTGTCACTTTTGATGACCAAAAGATTTCCTTTGTGCTGCATGTTTTTCCTTCTTGGTTGAACAATATCTTGCATTAACATGTTTGGTGGTGGGAAAGTGTCCATGCTTTCGATAAAGAGTGTGTATATGTGATCTGGTTCCATGTATGCATTTGGAATGATTTGTATACTCTTTCGCAGATCCTGTCTGGAAGTGACATAGGTTCCGCAACCTCATTAGTTTACCCAATGGGTGACATCCAAGTCATTCAAGTCATGCAGTGTTGCAACCCCTTCTTGCAACAGAATGTCCACTATCTGTGGTGTCCTTCCCGCAGTTGCATAAAGCAAGCCTTTATATGTCTTGAGGTAGCTCTGTTTTACGTTCAGTCATATTTCTATGTGAAACATGGACACGAACTGGTTTGTGATCATATATATAAAACATTTGTTTGTCAATACCTTGACTTTCAGGCATAGGCTTTGGTGGACATGGTGCATTACCTCCCACTACATCGAATCAAAATGAACATAGGGGGTTTACACACTTTGTGGCCATACACCATGTACTTCGTCAACCTCAATAACGAAGATGGGATGTTTTATTGACGAAGATGAAAACCCCATCACTAGAACAGTGAGTATTGTATATCTTGCGGTCATTAATATTCCAACTTTGTTCCTCCTCTCACACTACATAGGGAGAGATGAACATTGTCGGCCTCAATGACGAAGATGCAATGCTCGTTGACCAAGATAACACAAACATGGTGAGTATATTTTATGCCTTGTGGTGCTTTTAAAGATATTGACACTACATGGTGTCACAGAATGACAGCAGGTCATAGCATTTGAGCACATGGCCATTCAACCGCATAGCTTAACTGGAGGTGTATTAATTATTTGAACAACCACAACAATACACATGAGTCTCACCTGGTGGCCATGTCATAGAGTCTGACTGACATGTGAGGCTCACCGTGCATGGAGGCAGTGCAACTGTCATCCCTGATGTTGTATAATGTTGCATGTTAGCCCTTTTTGTGACCCCCTATAATGTAGTCTTCTTGATCAACGAGTTCCTTCAACATATTGATGCTAGTGTTCCAAATCTTCTTTGCAAAACCCATGGGAACATTGACCTAAACACAGTTAGTGGTGGTGAATTTGGGAACAATAATCGGACTTACAAGTGACTGATTACTCTCAGACAATAGTAGCAACTGAGCCTTGACTAAGTCCACACGCTGCACTACCCCTGTAGTCATATACTCGGGCCCTCGGACAATGCTACATGAGTCTCCAGGCCTAACATCATAGCCCTTCTGCTTTATAAACTTAAGGGTGGTGGAGTTTGTTTGCAATAAAGCTATATTGGGAATATCCACGGTAAGTATATTGTGCTAAAATATCAATCTCCCTGATCACATCAACTCACATTCGCATTAGCCATGTCTCACATCATTTATCAACCTCTGATTAATGGCAATGGTCATGTAAGCCTGTTTCATGCCACTGAGGTGGCCCAAAACAGACACAACTGGAGTTGCTAGCAGCAAAGATGGTACATATTTGACACCACGTCGCCACCACGGAGCCTGATGTGAGTACCCAAGGCAGCTGCTGCTCTGTAAGTGCCAGGTCCAATTAAGAGATTGTTACACTTCTGCACAGATGTTTGCACTCAGGTGCTACAACGATCTAAATTACTGATTAGGAGGATGAATTCTCTCCTTGCAGTTGTTCACACAACTAACAAACCCTTCTAGAGATAGATTTGTGCTACGAACTGTTACAGTAATGACTGGATGACCCCACATGCATACCATCACACGCACACACCGCAGTACTACCTACTAAATGTTTCAGAGGTAGTGCTCACCATACATGGCTGCCTGTGAGTGACTCAGTTATTGGAAAAAAAACAACACAAGGTGTACTTTGACAAAGATGGCAGAGGCTGGCTTGACTATTGAGGGCACACTGGATGGAAAGGCAAGGCGGCCAAAGATTTAAGTCTCAGGCATGGTGTTGGCAGCTTTGGTGGGAGCAACGCGGCCAGACATTGTTCAACCGTGTCTTTGACCTAGGTTCACACTTTTGTTATTTGTTTAATTGGACAGTGATAGGACCATGGGGTATACTAGCAGTTCTCAAAGATTCAATGAATCTGAATATATTCTTCCATCCCAGGCTATAATAACTAGGTGGGCATACAAACACACCCAACACGCTGGGACTGTCATGGCAGTTCTATTTCAAACCTGTTGCAATGGGAACTACATGGGCCGCTTCTAGAGGCTCCTGAGGGACCAAAGATAATCAGGACTAGAGTCCAGAGTAAGTTACCAAAGAGGCAGGGAGCACTGGACTCTGGGATATGGGCAATGTATGGTAAACAAATGTAAACAGACAAGCCACAAGACAAAGGTAAGGGATAACTAGACCTAGATAAGTCCTAGGGAGGTCAGGAAAGTGTATGAATGGTCAGGGAAATATAGGTAATGAGTATGTACATATAGAGACCATGAAAAGGATAGAAAAGTGTACTATAGAGGTGAATAATCATATAACTAACACAGACCCACTGTTCTTGGGCACTGATGCAAAAAATTGATCACATCACATTTTTCGGTGTTAATCTCACAATGACCTCTTATGACATGGAACTCATCCCCAACATCTGAGAATATCACAGTAGGAGGTCGCTTGATAGGTTGTGTCATCTAAATGTCTTGGATCTGTGTTGTTATAGTTCATGCATTGTTGGCCCATACACCCCATGGCCACATGCATGCTCTACACAATTTCATTTGTAAGGGCTAACACACAACTAACAGGGCTAGTCACCTGACATTCTATATCTCTCTAATTTTCAATACCACAAGTAATAATACAGCACAACCAGTAACTGTGTCATAAATCATGTGGAAGAGGCACAGGAATAGTCGGGGTGGCTGGAGGAAAGAGAAGGGCGTGATGAGCGCAGGGATGAAGGGTGCTCCCCAACTGGCCTTGGGGCAAACAGCCAAACCAGGTGTCATGAGGAAGGGCAACAGTCGAAGAAGGAAGTGAAAATTACATTTTCCGGATGTCCTCAAAATTTATAAAGTCCAATCAGTGTGTTGAACTCATTGTGCATTGAGATCCCTCACAGTGCATCCACACCACATAATGGACAAGAAGGATAGAATTTTTAAGCAGGTAACTGTCACCAACCCAATTGATGAAATAAGAACTACAGGAGACTCGCTGAAAGAAACCTGCTCCATCACTTTTGGGGTTGTAGTCTGTGGCTGCAAGCTGGAGGGTGTCCCCAGGAAAAGTACTCTTCCAGAAGAGGCTGGATTTCACTTCAGGTGAACAAAGATCTGGAACAAAGCCAATTGGGAGGACTTTGTGGAGTACACGAAAGGCCCTCCTGAGGAGTATGTTGAGGTGACCTTACTCGCACAGAAGGAGGTAGTTTTTTTTTTTTTTTTGATTCTACTGGTCACTGCTCAGAGCATTCTAACCTTCCTACCAAACTTGCAACCCTATGGTTTATGGTTATTGACTATGCCGCTGCTTGAGAGAGAGTAGCAGTTGCCCCAGCGTAAGTAATTTTAGCCTTGGGCTGCAGGATGCTGACATTTCATAGGTGTCGCCTGCAGGCTCTGAAGGGGCTGCCTCAGCCACCAGAGGGTGCATGACGACCATGCGCCACTCTTTGACATCCAGGGTAGGCCTTTTACAGAGCTAGATTCATCCAACTGACACATCTTTAGCTGTCCATGCAAACCAGACTCTCAAGTTCTCCTTCTTCTACCAATACATAGTCACTTTCCCTAATTTCTACCAGGCTTCCCTCATCAGATTCTGGGCTGTCACCTGGTAATCACATCATGTGCTACACCAGTGGTCGGCGATCACCCTCTCCTGGTCCTACTATGTAGGCTTAGTGGCCATCATCTGGATTGTCTGGTACAAGGCTGACTGGGCCTAACCACAAGTGTTCAACCTGCCATGAGAAGTTGAAAGACAGTGATGATTTCATCTCTCATACAAAAACACATGTAGGTAACTTTAATTTTCATACAGTCTAAGATAAGCTCACCTTGACTTCAGTTGTCTTGCCCCAATGACTGTGGACCCATTAGAGTAAATAATGTGGTTGACCATGTCAACCGACACTTTAAATGTAACCACCCTTCAATGTTTGTCAATGCCAAGCTGACTACAACACCTTACCTTCCCATAGCAATGCCTTGTAAAGGCAAAGGTTGTTGTTTTGTTGAAGCGGATGAGGTCTGAATCAGCTCCTCCCAAGAAATCAGCTCCCTCTCAGTTTCCAGGCTATAGCTAAATGTTAAATAGTTGCTAGCACTATAAGGAGTTTTATGCAAGACTTTGCTGTATGATCTAGCATGCATATGCAATGTGAATGAATACACAATTTTGGCACAAGGCTGGTAAAACACCATAACAAGTGATGATGCACCTTCAATGTACCAGCTGGGATGATGAAACATGCCTCGCATGCTCCATGCTGTGCAGCCATGGTATGTTAATGTCTCGCACTCAGATTTGGTAAAGCTAATATTAGCATGCCACAGTTCCAATGGCCACAGCAAGTCAGACAATTCTGATTCTCCAGATGATACCACCATTCATGGACATGATGAAAATTATTGACACCAAACTGTGGTGTTATTTGCCCATAATGAAAACTGTGTCTTGTGCGTGTTATATTTAAAATCTTCTATCAGAGGAAATAATTCCCAACAGTTGCCAGACAGGGTATTAGTGAATGTATTTTGATATTGACGTCATGGACTGATCATTTCATCAGTCATTAATGACAGACAAACTCTATTTTCTGTGGAAATGATAGAGTTAGTAGGTCATGCACACACATAGGTGGAGATCTATTCCATTCCTAGCTAGTACCTCATCCACTGTAGCTTATATACTGTGCAAGCTTGAATTTGATGATATCAACTACCATCATCATGACATTCATAGGCTCATTCTCAATGACAAACACAGGGCGAAGCAGAGACATTGAGATAGTTACCTAATATGATCACACCATGATCACAAGACTTATGGTGGTCTGCACTGATGCAGCAGGGCTGCCCTGGGATCACCCTCCGGAAATCAGTGTCTTGGATAGTGTGGCCTTATCCACAACCACTTGGCTGTTCACGTTCAACAGATTTGGATTCATGGTGCTATCGCACCATTCTATACTGTCATGCTCTTTTGGTTCATTGGTCCAGAAGTGCATACTCCTGCTTTATCGACTTTGTTCTGGCATTTGGAGAGTATGGCACCTTGCCCTCCATGATATCTGGTCGGCAGTTTGTGACATGATGTCCTTGTCCAACAACTTTTTAGATGTGCCACAGCTTCCCAGTGCCTGTGGCTCTTTTGAAACATTTGGCCAGCATTAAAAGTAATCCACAAATCAATGCAATCTATGCTGATATTTTATGGGTCTTTCCCAATGTTGTGCTGACAAATGCTGGACTTTGGGCACTGTGACCTCGGGCTAATCAACATGGGACTATACAGCACATTGGTAAGCCTGTTCCTGGCTACAAATGCTCCCAATGTGACTATGCCTGCCCAGATCACAACAAGCAGTGCATCAGCATCAACTCCGAGCACGATTACAGCCAATGCCAGAAGCAAACCATAGATTGGGAAAATCTGCAGGAAGGGTTTGTATAATTTCATATACTCTCTCCATGCTTGGTCTGTTTGTAATTTCAGTTCCTCTGAATTGGTCCCGAGAATTATAAACAATACCATTAAATACAGAACTTGTATTTGTTTTTGTTCTGTTTGAGAAATATATATATATATATATATATATGTTCTTGCACCACTCATCCAAGTCTGAATATTTTTATTTGGTGCTCAGCCATGATCTGTACTGAACAATCATCTAATAAATATCATGGTGGGAGGGCTCAAGCTTGTGCATCAATTTTAGCACCTGGAAAGCTTAAGATAAAAATACCTATAGGTATATTCTCACATGAATATGTCACAAGGTGGGACATCATGTACATGATATTTATCTCTAACACTACTTTTGTGAATTTTTAAATATATTTATATGTTTATATTTTCTACCAAGACAACAGTGAAAACCTTGATATGTACACTCATGACCAGTACCCACATATGTTTATACTTGATATATTGTTCTCTCTCTCAATCACATAGGAGAACTACAAGATTTAGATATTGATTTCTACTTTCTATTTTATGCCTGTTTGTATGCAATTGGAAACATCCAAACACTCTAGTATTCTAGCCACTTCTATATACACTTCACACTTGTCAATCACACAACTGCTAAGAGTCCAGCCAACTATATTCACTACTTTTTGATGTTATATTTTCTGCATAGTGGTCCTCCACAAATAAAATAAAAACTATTAATTGTTGTATAGTTGACTT